ATTTAGGAGCCCGACTCACGTGACTACTTAAAGAGTCACCTGAGTCGGCATTAGCACCCTGGGCCACTATCAAACCGGTTGGGTCAGAGTGGGTTAATTTAACTCCAAACCCGGCTTTACTTGAACCCCTCCCTATATCTGACCGTATTCCCCTTTTAATTAGATCCGCATAGGACAAACCGGCTATTAACCTTTTTTTTAATTTCAAAATTACTTGAGAACTTTTCATTAATTACTGCTGTATTTTCTGCGCAAGACTTTTCAGTTCCCAAAACAATCTTCGCCTTTTCTCTAGAAGGAACTTCTTCTCTCCTATTTCTGACGTGGCTAAGCAACTTATCTTTGTTCCCGCCAAGTGTTATCCATCTTGCCAATTCATTGTCATCCTCAAGCTTCTGCCTCCCACACCATTGCAACGCTTCAACTTCTGAAGCGACCCAAACCTTGTGCCAGTATCTATCTGCACAGATGTTGATCGTTCTTGGCACAGCTTCAGCCATTAAACCAGCGATCTTTAAGTGAACTGCTCTCAGTTCTGAAGTTTTATACGAGAGAAGAACACCGCCCATCGCCATGACTAATTTCTCCAAAATGGTTCTCCACCATAGGTGAAAAGGTAAACCCAGGATTTTCAATCTGAAGTTTCCAACAACAGGACTTACTGAGTTAGCCAAAGGACACCAATTTTCAATCACTACAGTTCCTTCCTTTGTTTCCACTGTGGTGAAGTCAACTGTTGCCTCCCCCACATCAAGCAGTGCTCTCTTTTCATTGAATGGGATTAGAATAACAATCCCAGGGAGCCTTAGTTTCTCCGAAACCTCCTCTAATAACCCTTTCCAATCTTTAACCTCTGTCTTTGTTGAAATTTCCAGTCTCTTCTCCCAGATTCCTTTCTCTCCTACCAGTGAGAGTTTTGGTTCTGAATTTGTGAAAGCCACCGTTGGTTGATCTTGGCTTTCCACAGGCTCGTCTAGGCCCAACTTTTCTAATCTTTTCCTTCTTTCTGTCATTTCCTCCTTGCTCAATCCATTATCAACTCTATCTACCTTATACTTCACCGTCCCTGACTCCAACTTAGCAAGTCTTCCATGGAGTGCATTAGCCATCATGATCCAGCCCTGTAATTTGTCACCTTCAGGGATGATTATTGTTTGTTTCTTCTTTTTTTTCGAACCTTTCTTCCAGAGAAACAAACCATCCTTTATCATTTCTCCTTCTCTCAACATGGTATTCCCTCCGTAGCTGTCTGAAAGTACTACACCATTTTTCGCACCAGCTTACATGGATTGCTCCGTCCAGAAAGCTTTGAAACCAAGGAACAGCTCCACCCACAAGCAGTATCGAGCCTCTTCTTCCTTCTCTTATTTTTATCGTGAACTCTTTCTGATAATAAATCTCCTCCAAAAGAAAGTCTTTCCTTTCCACTATCAGTGTCTTTCTCCATTTTCTAGCCGGTGAGAAACCGTCGGCCTCCATCTGTCAACAATCTTCTTTAAATCCACACTTCCTTGCTTCAGCTTCTCCCCCCTCTGAAACCCCCTCCTTAACTTCCTCCCTTCCTCATTCTTCACCTCTGCCTTCCTCTCCTTTCTTCACCAACCTTTCTAGTTTTCTCACTCATCCATCTGAATTTCTGCTACACATTTTTTATTATTAATCTTTAATTGTATTGATATGAAACAGGGGAAAAACTTTTCCTTATCCAAGATGATAGAGAGGAATGCTACACCCATTGTTTTGGACATGTTTCTTGACTGCCCAAAACCTTGTTCCACAACATGCTGTATCTTTGATAGTAGAAGGTGATTCCAGGGATGTGATTGGCTTGGCTAATAAGTTTGGGGCTGGCTCATCTTCTCCATGAAATGAGTGAGACGTGTGTCCCTTGGCTGTAGTTACAGATGGATCCCAAGAGAATTGAACCAATTGTCTGACTCTGTGGCTTAATCTGGTTCAAGGAATTTTTTTAATAGTGCAAATACTTTACCTATTGCTTGACTGGGCTTTTGAATTTGTTTTTTAGTGGAGCCTTTTTTTTTGTAATAAGGCAATTATCTGGGTTTGAAAAAGTGTTCGAAAGCGCAAGGCGCAGGGGCCAATTTGCGCCTGAGGCGCAAGACGCAAGGCGAGGCGTGTGCCTTTTTCAAAAAGGCGCACAAAATTTTTCAGAAATGCATAAAGATAGAAAAAATATGTAAAAATTAAAAAAAATCAGAAAAAAATACAAAAACAATAAAATCTAAATTTCTAAGAGTTAATAGTTAAGATATGAGTATGACAATGCCATCTAAAGTTCTAATTTCTATTCTAAAGTCTAAAGTTCTAAACAATTGAATAATTAAAATAACATAGTATCAAAATTAAACACAGTAAAACCTATTAACATAACTATTAAGTTACAAGTATAATTATATTGAAAAAGATAAAAAAAACTATACACAGATACAGCAGATCTATAGAAAATTAGTGTATTTACCTGAACTGAATGTGATGTGAATCCCCAAGACTTCAAGACCACACCACAGTAAAACCTATTATGAGTCTAAGACAGAATCAATGTTTTAGTATAAAAATTAGAGAAAAAAAGAATAAAATCAGTAGCAGAAATAAAAAAAAGTGTAAAATGATAAAATCATTGGAAGAAAGAAAGAAAAATAAATGGAACTTGCACCACTGTTTTTGGTGTAAAACTGATGAAGGATACAGTGGAAAGATGAAAATAAAAACTAAGAAAGAAATAAAGAAATAAAACTAAAAAAGAAATAAAGAAAATAGGGAGGAAGAAGAAGAGGGCTGGAGCCGTGGAGCCCCTGTTTTCAGTGCAAACAGCAGACCAGTGGAACTGTGGAAGAAAAAAAATGAAGGGGTGGAGCCCCTGTTTTTGGTGCAAAACAGTGAAGAATGAAAAAAAAAGAAGTAAGAAAGAAAGAGGAAGAAGAAGAAGGGCCAAAGCCCCTGTTTTCGGTGCAAAACAGTGAAGAAAAAAATAGAAAGAATGAAATAAGGAGGAAGAAGAGGCGGAGCCCCTGTTTTCAGTGCAAAACCGTGAAGAACAAAAATAAAAAAGAAAGAAAGAAAAAGGAAGAAGAAGAAGGGGCGGAGCCCCTGTTTTCGGTGGAAAACAGTAAAGATGAAAAAAAAAATAGAAAGAAAGAAGAAGGGGTGGAGCCCCTGTTTTCAGTGCAAAACAGTTAGAAGAAAATAAAAGAGAAAGAAAGAAGAAGTTGCCTATTTCTGATTGAATGTGCCACTGGAAGATTGAAGAATGGATTGAATCTGGATGATCAAGAAGGTTTGTGCATGGAGACTTGGACTGGAGTTCGACGATCAGACTTCTTTTGCTTTTTTGGGAAGTTTTGATTCATTTCCCATTACTTTTTTTTATTCTTTTACTATATGGTATGCAACAAGTGTAAAAAAATAACTGTTATACATGATAATAACTATCTATAAACTGAATCTTTAGAGAATTAAACAACAAAATTCGAATACATGCATAAGGCATTCAGACTGAGCTGCCTGGCACCTGGCCTGAGGCGTGTGCCTAGGCTCAGAGGCGAGCGCCTTCCTGAAGGGCATGCACCTGGACCTGGGCGAGGCACAAAACCTGAAATGCGCCTTGCCTCTGCGCTTAGGCGTGACTTTTAAAACACTGGTTTGAGGTGATGAATCCCATGTAGGGTGTGCCCTTCATGAGAACCAGGACCTTGGTGGTGCAGGGTTCATGTGGGTGGGTGATTGAGACTATACATGTTCACGGGTAGCTTTGGGCTTGGCCCATGAACATTTTACACTGCTTCGGGCTTGGGTTTTGGGTCTGGCCCATTCAAAATTTGTCAAAAGCTAACCCTGAGCCTGACCCATGAACAGGTCTAATTGAGACCATAGGGAGCACGGTCTATGTTAAGGAAAATCCCACGAGTACTAAGAGCTGGTCTTTGTGCCATCTTTACTTGATGACTTTGGACCCAAGATGGTTGGATGCATTTATGGGCATGTGATGACCAGAAAAGAAGAAGTCATCTGATGCAGTGTAGATTGGATTCTTGCAGTTGCAGAGCTTCCCATTTATGAACATTGATCAGAAAATAAGAATATTTTATCAAAAAATCAGAAAAATAAGAATACAGTTTGGTAAAATTACACGAACTACATTTGAAGTGAAGTATATTTAGTTTCTGGTTGTACAATCCCTCACTGTAAAACTTTGATGATGTGTATTTTGGGGTTTTATTTCCCATTTTAATGAAAGTTATACTTTGCCTCTTCTCAAGGAAAAATTCCTATATAATCAATGTTCTCTATGGATTGTATATGTATATACGTATGTATTATGTGTTTGAGAAAGAAGAAAAACAGTGGGCAAGAATGGGCTTACTCTAGTAATTGAAGTAAAATATGACAAGAGGAGCATGAATATACCGACTGCTTTAGAGTCGTCAATGACATAGAAGTCTTGCAATGGACTTGGTCAGAGGCTAAAACAGCTTGATAGCAATGGGTCCAAGGCCCAAGAACCCATTTTCCACTTATAGTTTCTATTAATATAGCACTCTTAACAGAATAAATTGCTTGGTTGATGGGTGAGAAGGTTAGCATTAGAACCATGCCATTTGTAACATGAAGCCAATGAAATAGGATAAAGCACCTGCTTTGTTTATTAGAATACACATTCTTCAACTGCTTCCATTTCTTTTGTATCTTGTTCTTAGACTCCAACAATTGCAAGTTCTGCACTTTGCTTGAAAAGGGATTATCCTTGTTAATCCTTTTAAACTGCTTTCAAGGACCAACTCCATACAGATCCTCTTGGTTTCCAACATGTAGCAGATCCTCATCAAATGAATTGATGGCACTTTGTATTAGTTTCCTCCAATTTAATGTTTAAAATAATTAGTTTTACCCCAACTATCTGCTAATCTCACTCATTCTGTCCTCATAAAATATACAACCAGGTCACTGACATGTCATTTGGCTTTACTTGTGCTCTATTGAAGGTCCAAACCTTTTGATGATGTTCTGTTCTGCTTGTAAAGACAACGATGGTGCTGGATCACCAGTTTATGGTACAAAAGATGCTTCAGCTTTTCAAGGATTTAGTAGTATCCTGGACGGCTTGAGTGATTGCTTAACATGCAGTGGAAATGGTGAACAGGTATGCATTATGACAGAAAGATGTCATTGGATATTCTACTTTACCCATTTGTACCAGTTTGGCTTCTTATTTTATTTCTTCAAAGGCACCATGGTTATAACTTTATTCATAAAAGTGTACCTTCTAAGAGAATATGGCAATACTTCAATTCTAAAGTTGTTACTCATCTGCAGTAGGCTGGTAGGCCTGCTACATGTAGACAGTGGTAGACATGGATGTTGGTTTGGGAGACAGGGATATAACCAGCTATGTATGACTGTTGTAGCTGATAATGATTTTCTTGCTTGCTGCCAAATTCTGTGAATTTGTTTGGGGTGAAGTGATTACAGTTGAAAAAGGAGAGGCAGTTATACAATATACAGCGGTAGTTTTGGTGTCATATTGGGATGTTATATATACTTTATGGTGTTGATATTTCTAATACATTTTTCTGTTATGGGCAGTATTTTCAAACCGTCATTGATCTGGGTGGTCAAACCATTTGAACCATCACACAGCGTTAATTTTGGTCCGGGCGGKTAAACTATTAGGTCAAAACCTGTTTGACCCAGTTAAAATGTTGACCCGCTTGACCTGGTTGGTTGGTCATGAGTTACAAATTATGATTTGTAAGAAAACATTTTTTGGATGAATAATGGAAACTGAATTATTAAATTAATAAAGAAAGTGTACAGAGAGGAAAGAGGAGGGGTAAACTCTCTTAGCTCTCCCAAGTACAAACAATATAATTACGATACATCCCAAAATAGATGATCCCTTCCCACCCCCTGCTTTGCTAATGTATCAGCAAGGGAATTAACGTTCCTTTTCACCCATTGCACATTGATTTTCGTTCCTTGAGATAGCCATTTACACCTTTTCTCATTTATATAACACCATCCAGCCTCCTCTTCCTTTTGCAGCCATTCAATAACTATGAGTCCTCCAGAATTCCTAGCTTCTGGATATTCAGATCTTTAGCCTTTTTAAGTCCTTCCAGCACAACCATTATTTCAGCCCTCAAAAAATCTCTAGCACCAATTGATCCCGAGTAGGCAGCAATGATTCTTCCTTCCTCGTTTCTAAATACCTGAGACCCAGATTTCCTTCACTACTCCCATCAAAATTCAGCTTAACAAAACGACATGGTGGAGACCATATTGGTTTAGCCACAACCTTGCTAGGCATTGAGTCAACAACTACCTTCCAATTCCTCATCAAGGCATCTGCATGGACACCCTCAAAAATATCAAGAGGCTTCACCCAGTGGATCACCCTAATTGTAATGACTTCAATTAGGGTATCCCTACTTCTCTCCTAATCAAGAAAGATCCTTTGATTCCTTTCTTCCCATGCTGTCCAACACACAACTGCCCTTGTACATCACCATAAGGAACTTCCCCTCTTCTTTGGCCAATTAACAAAGATAGAGGCAAATAAGCTTCGAACATTTGGTGGGGGCCTGGGGGGTTCCACCTACACCTAAACAAAGAGAGAAACCAATTTGGTTTTTTTCTTTAAAGTAGGTCAAAGGTGTTAAATCTCTCCAGAAAGGCTTCCCAGTGAAAAGCGCTTACATGAGGAGGGGTAGGCTTGCTTCAAACCTCCCCAAACTATCCTTTGGCTGAACTAAGGCTGAAAAGAAAGAGGCACACGAAAGTGATCCAGAAGAGGAAAGACTCCAAATTCGACTATCCCTTTTAGAGTGATCAAAAAGACCCAATCCAACTGAACACGATGGAATGACGGATCTCTTCACTTTCCTGGGTATGTTAAGGAGAATGGAACGGGAGGAGAGAAACTTCCGGTCGGTGGGGAAGTGGAGGTTGGAGCTGGGCATTGAAGCTAAACACTTTCTGTTCGAACAGGGAGGGACAAGAGGTAAGGCTTATCTGAAAATCAGGGAAGGTAGTAGGGCCACACTATTATTACCAGAGGAGGCTTGCTACTGGCTGAAAGGCTTTGTTGATGGAACAGTAAACTCTATCAAGGTAGAAGGGTGGAAAAACTCAGTGGTATGTTGTGGGAAAAGTTATGAATCGGTTTTGAGAAGGAATGAGAGAGGATGGTTTATCATGGTAACAGAATACTTTGGTACTAACAAGAAACAAGTATTATGCATACCGGAAGGTTTGAGGGGTCAAAGCTGGACTTCCTTCGCCAATAATATCCAGGCCTTTCTCTTGGAATTTGAAAGGAAGGCTGTAGGAGGATTGGATAACAGATCGGTTGAAGATGCTCCTTTAAGCTGTGGTACCCCGGAGCAGAGCAAGAAGCATAGTCCCTGCTGTCAAGAGACTTTGATAGCAAGTTCGTTTGGTATCCGAAAGTTAGCACTTGAAGTAGGGAGAGGCAAATGGGAACACAGAATGGTGTTAATGGCTGATAGGATTGTAAGGGATTGGACGAAAGTGCTAGATGCAGTTGCAGAAAGACTGGGTTTAGAAGGTGATACAATAGTTCTACCGTTTGATGAGAAGAAAGCCATCCTCGATACAGGTGATGAAAAACTGAGTTTCAATACAGTCCAAGTAGATGGAGGACTGATACAAATACAAAAATGGGTTCCGTTGTGCAACGAAGTTGTGCTAAAGGACTGCAACTTCTGGATCAAACTCTTAGGACTCCCTTTTAATATCTGGAATGAACAGACCTTAAGAAGAATTGTTAGAGCCCTAGGGGGTGTTCTTCTGGAGCTGAACTTGAGAAGCTTGCGTGCTGCGGAGATCAGAGTTGCAGGGCTGAAGCCGGAGAGCTTGCCTCGTGCTCTCGAAATTCTTTCAGATGGAGCCTGGTATAAGGTTTGGCTGGCGACGGAAGTTGGGGGAGACGACCAGAGGTAGGGGATGATGACATGGCAGCGGGATGGAGCACATGTGGCACCCAAGGAGTAGAGAAGCAACCTGCTGCGCGTGACAGAGTAATTAGAGATAATGAACAGTTGCAGGGCTTTTCCACCTCTCGAAGCCTTCCTTTGAAAGCAATTAATTCAATTTTTTTTGAATTAAATTCAAGAGTTTTAGGTGGCCCTTCCCATGCTGACGTGGCCAGAAGAGATTGTAACTTGGCACATCTTAACAGGGCCACCACTTCTGAACCGGGTGTAAAATTGGCCGAGCCATCTTTTGGTCCACTCACCACTTGTAGTGGGCCACGTGACGACTTAAGTCATCACGTGRGGCGGGACAAGTTCTATTCGACTGTAGAAGGAAACGTCCGTCTATCTTCTTCCAGAAAAGAGGGGATTTCAGATGACTGTGCAAGTTTGGATGGCTCTACACAGGAAGATTCCCAAGTAGGACAGATCAGAGATGAGTTAAACTTAGAGCAACTCTTTCTTGAAAATCCGATGGGTGTACAGAAGACAGATTTGGAGACTCTGGTAAACTTGAACAGGGTAAACTTAAACAAGGTTCGGCCCCTTGCAAGTAGCTGTTAAGGTGGTAGGTCATGCTTACCCAGATTTGAACAAGAGTACATCACAGAGAGGTGGACAAACGGGTAAAGAAAAAGGTATTTGTGTAAACCAGTTGACGGGGAATAGTTCCCTCCAACCCGAGGAGACGGAAAGCTCCAATTGTTCTTTACAGGGTTTGAAAATCAACCACCCTCCTCTGCTTCTTTTCTACAACCCTCAGTTGGAACCAGGTAACTCTGACAACTCTGTCAATTCAGCTTGTGCTACTGATGAGTGTTCTGTGTCCATTGTTTCAGATTCCTTTTCCAACCAAGAGTCAAAAGCCCATGGATAGGAAGCTGCAATGAGATTACAAGGGGAGGAGGGGGAGACAATAGTAGGATTACAGGGCAGGGATAAAAGGATATGGGGTATCATTGAGAGGATAATGGGTGAAGTGGAGAGGAATGATTTGCAAAGGGAGGGTACAAATGGTACAGAAAGAGTGCCTAGTGGAGAGAAAGAGAAAAGGAATGAGGAGAGGGGTGTAAACTAAAGAACCAAAATGATTTAAAAGCATTTCTATGAAAAAAGGAGGATAGAAAGTAAGAGAAAAGAAAATTGAGTGAGGTTGAGAGATTAAAAAGTGATATTGAGGGGGATAAGAAATTTGGGGCCAGAGGGGACAGAAGGRAAGGGCCCAAGTAGATTTTGGTGGTGATAGGGTAGATTCTTGCAAAATTGTGATGAGAATCATAAGTTGGAATGTGAGGGGGCTAGGTAGTGCTAGAAAGAGAGCAACAATCAAAGAGGTGTTTAAGAAGTTCAATCCAGATGTGGTATTACTTCAGGAATCTAAAAGAATGGATTTTGATTGTAGGTGGGCGAGAAGTGTCTGGAGAGCTAAGGGGATTAAGTGGGCGGCTGCTCCGTTGTGGGGGTCCTCAAGTGGTAGTGACTTTGTGGAAAGAAGATGTGCTTATAGGACTGGAGGAGTTGATAGGGGATCATTCTGTTTCTTTGAAGTTTAGGCAGGTGGAAGATGGTTTCGAATGGTTTCTAACAAATGTTTATGGGCCCAATGACTATAGGTAGAGAAAGAAACTGTGGGAAGAGTTGAGTGATATTAGGGGCCTTTGGGAAGGACCATGGTGTCTGGGAGGGGATTTTAATGTAATGAGACTCACAGAGGAAACCAACAACCCTAGACAGAGAGTCACAACAAGTATGAGGAGCTTCAATCAGCTTGTGGATTCGTTTGAGCTTAAAGAACTCCCAATGCTTAACAATACCTTCACCTGGTCCAACCTCCAATCAAGCCCAATTTGCTCTAAGATGGACAGGTTTCTCTTTTCTATAAATTGGGAGGCACATCGAGGTAACTTAACATCTAGGGTGCTCCTGAGGCTTACCTCAGACCACTGGCCTATAGTAATGTGTAAGGAGGATTTGAGAGGTGATGGTCTTGCCCCGTTTAGGTTTGAAAACATGTGGTTGACCCCCCCGGGCTTCATTGAGAAAATCAAGGAATGGTGGTAGCACTATAATCCGCCAGTACAATGGGAAGGAATGAGGTTTCATAAAAAGCTTCAGTTCTTAAAATCCCAAATAAAGGAGTGGAACC